TGCAAAAAATCTATTGAATAAATTTCAAATTATTGCATTTTTTATCACAAAGTTGTAGTATTGCAAATGCAGATTTAAAAAAAAAAAATACCTTTTATCATATATACGAGGGAATTTTGATAATTTTTTTTTTTAAATTTATGTCCACTAAAATGTAAGAAATCTGTTAGATAAATTCAGAAAATGGCATGAAAACGAAATCTGGAAAGGAACTTAGGCAAAATGGACAAAATCTGGAAAGGAAGCTGTGGAATTTTTACTGGTCATACTAGAAATGTACTCCTAGTTGGTAAAATCAAGTGCTCACTTGCATCTTCTTGGTAAAGTCGCCAAATTAAAACCAACAGGATGCTGGTCAGTAATTTGGGCACGGATTGCAAAACTTTTTGTTTTTGGATTCCCGCTCTCGGTCACTTACCCATGTGATCTTTGTCGGTGAAATTAATACCGACTAACAACACATGGGTAATTTGCCATATATATACCGCTGCCCCACCACTCTACCCGACTTATTTCTTCTTATCTTCCTTCTTCTTTTTAAACAATAAATATATATATTAATTTCAATATGAGTTGAATTCAAGATTTTTTTTTTTTATTTTTCCAGAGTTACTTACCAACGTCATTCTCGTCGGTAACTAGGAGAAAAAAAAAGGTGCCTAAAAAAAATGGCACTTGAAAAAAAATGGTGACTAAAATTTCAAAGATGATTTTCAACTTGTCAACGAAGATCTTTGTGTACTTTAGACGTGGTCTTTGTCGGTGATTTACTGACATGGCCCAAATTGCAAAGCATTTTCCTGTGTTGGCAGACGTGATGTTCATCGGTGATCAACTCAAAGCTTGAGGCCCCTCTCTATCTTCAAACGTTATCCTTGTCGGTAATTTATCAACGTGGAAACTAGAGATGTTTTCTGGTGAACTGTTCTATTTCTTTCTTTGCAAGATGTTTCTTGTTGGTAATGAGGAGTGCGTTTACCGACGTGATTTTCATCTACATCGGTGATTGAATTACCAAACCCGGCTTCACCGACAAAGCCATTACCGGCATGATCCAAGTGGGAAGCTTGTTTCACCGACCAGTTTCTCTCTTTTACCAACATGATTTCTCGTCGGTGACACAGTGAATTCTTGTAGTGTAATATTACATTATAATTATACGTTTATAATCTTATGTAATATTGTAATTATAGCATTATTAAATTTTTTAATCTTCTCATTAGATAAGTTATGTCATAGCAATTTTGCATTTTTGCTCCCTTTAAATTGATTTTGAGACAATCTTTTAGTATCACCTTTTAATATAAATTGACGTATCATTTAAATGATTGATTTTTTTAATTCATATGGGACCAGTGATATTGAATGTATCTACTCATTTAATGATAAGTAAAAATTGTATCAAAAGATGATATAAAAAGGTTGTAATTATAGCGTCACCCTAAATTTAAAATGAATTAAAAAATAAGTCTAAGTTAGGGGAGAAGAAAAAGATGACATATCATTACACCCACTTAAATAAATTAAGAAATGATATAAGAGAAAATAAAGAAGGGTGGTTATATTTACCATTTAATTTGTTAAGATTGTTAATAATTATTAATTGGATTGATAAAAATAATTAATATTTATTATTTAATAAATTTAAATTAATTTATAAATAGATTTTTAAATCTTATAAATAATTGTTTAATAAAAAATTATAAATTAATAAAATCATAATTAACTTGATGGCTTTAACAAATTAGATGATGGCAATAGCCTCAGCTTTTGTTCCATTCTTAATTTCTTTTATCCAATAAAACAAGGATATATAATAATTAATTAATTAAATTTTATATTGATTTAATTTTTTCATTTAATTTTAGTAGATTTAATTTTTAATTTGAAGGGTTTTAATATATTTATCTATTTTCTTTTTTTTGAGATAGTACTCAGTCCATCTTAAAATAAATATAGTTTTTTGAATTTTTCTCCAAAATTAAAAATTTAGGGACAATTCAAGTACTTACTTATATGTCCCTTAGGAAAATATTAAAAGCTAAAATCAAATTTTTTGTAACAAAATAATTAATCAAAATAAATAGATAATGATAACGTTAAATTAGAAAAAATATTTGTCTATCTTACAAAAAAAATTAATTTAAAACAAACTCAAAGTAAAAAAAAAATAGTTATTTTGAGGTAAAAGAGTATTTAATGCATTTATTTTTTTATCTTTATTTTAAAATGATAATTACAACATACACTATTAAATAAGAAGTCTTATTTAAGTAAAAATTAATTAGGGATAAATATTAAGTTTTATTAATAAATTATTACATTCCTAGTTTATTGAATAAAAATATAAATTTACTAAAATTAGACAAAGAAAATAAATTCTAATTACTATAATAAATGAATTTCAATTTTAATTTGAGATAAAAATGTATACTATTTTTTGTTTAATTGTAAACACTAAACGTAAAAATGAATAAAAATTTTAATTATTGTAATAAATAAATTTTAATTATAAATAGATAAGTGGGATAACTTTACCATCACGTTCGGACTTGTTTTTACTATAATCTCTGTTGGAATAGGCCCAACACCTAAACAGGGCTGTGCATAACGGGCCTAGGTTACCACCTAGTAGCCCAAGTCGAAGGAGCATCAGTACAAGCATACCCACGTGACCAGCACCACGTGGGCCAATGGGATGCTCACACGTGCAGATGTATGTCAGCACCATGGGGCTATAAATACCCCCAACTACCTCCGATGAAGGTAATTAATCTCTACGCTTCTCTCTCTGCAATTACTCATGGAGAGCACTTCTCTCTAGAATATTGAGTATTGCTGACTTGAGCGTCGGAGTGTTTTCCCCGAGGAAACAACCTCGGGATTTTAAAGTGTAGGAGCAGCTAAGGATTTCAATAGTGTTGGACTACAGTGTTTGACTGCGAAGCTGCCAAAACATTTGGCGCCGTCTGTGGGAAACGAACAAGAAGTCGTGTGGCTTTACTTGCTGAAAGATAATATGGTTCGTACCTTTACAGGAGGTCACCCTCCAAGAAATGAAATGGACGAACAAGAGGACACTCACGTATCTGAGCCCGACTTGAATGACTTTAGGCCAATGCCAAGAAATCTTTTTGTAGGGGGAGCCGAATAGGATCACCTAAGTGAAACAGATGATGAAAAAACACCAACTAGGTATGCAACCCAGCCTGAACAGTTCCAAGTTCCAACAGGAACAGGACAAAGATCTTCTAGACCATCCAATTCACAGCGTGAACGACATGAAAGGTCAATAGAACCTGCTCGGACAACCGAGCTTGAAGAGAGAACCAGAGTTCTGGAGATGGCAATGGGTAAAATCCTTAACCGTCTAATTCCTGATGACCCCCTGATTCCTTCGCTCAACAGGGATGCACAACCAAATGCGGTTGTTGCAACACGAAATTCCCCCACTCTAAGCAACATAGCCGTGCCGACTAGGCCAAGGGGAAGCGAGAAGCTAAACCTCAAGCCCAGCTTGTCCAAACATAGTGAAGAACTGATGAAAAAGAGCGCGGACCTTGAAAGACAACTGTGAGATGTACAAAAGTCCATTGACGAGGTGAAAAGTCCCAGGTCGCACCAACAAACCCTGGATTTGGATAGTGCTCCACTGAACCTGTCCATCACAGCAGAACCCTATCAAGAGGGATTCAAAATTCCCCACCTGGAGACATATGATGGCTCAGGTGACCCCGATGAACATCTGCACACTTATCAAGCCATCATGAGAATTCAAAATGCAAATGATGCCATGATGTACAAAGTGTTCCCAACGACACTAAAATCAACAGCCAGGAGATGGTATCACAAGCTCCCCAGACATTCTATAGACTCATACTTCCAGCTCGCCAAGCTATTCTCCAACAAATTCACGAGCCAGAGAAAGATCAAACGCACAGCAACCGAGCTGATGCAAGTTAATCAAAGGGAAGGGGAATCTCTGAGGGACTACATGCAGCGATTCAACAAAGCCACTTTGGACATTGATAACGTCCCAAATACCATCTGCCTGTCCGCCTTGCTACATGGTTTAAAGCGTGGCCGGTTCCTGGAGGACCTCCTAGAAAACCCACCGAGGACTTGGAACGAAGTGAATGATAGGTTGGCTAGCTTCATATTATCAGAAGACTTCTAGTTGTCCAAGCGACGAGCTGACAATAAGCAGAGCAAAAGTCATGATCAGCCGCCAAGGAGAGAAGAAAAGAAGAAACAAAAAGTCAGCGAGCAGTGGGGGAAGCCCGCTGACTTCTCTAAGTATGCCAACTACATTCCTTTAACCTTGCCCATGTCTCAAATCCTCGCGCAAATACAACACTGGGTTAGAAGACCCCCACCCCCACTGTATGAGTCCCCAAGGGCAGACAAGAACAAGCATTGTGACTATCATCGTACCTACGGTCACAACACAGAAGACTGCCAACACTTGAAAGACGAGCTGGAATTCCTGGCTCGCAATGGGAAACTAGAAGGATATGTTCAGAAGCCCCACGCCCAGCAACCCACTCAAACTCATTTTGTACAGGGGTACGACCGGCCAAAGGGGCAGAGGTATCAGCTCGGCGAGGCACAGGATGTATATCAGGACAATCAATATCCTTCAGAGCAGGGCAGGGCGTACAGAGGGCGTCCGTTCAACAGGAGAGGACAGGGGCAGAGAGCTGCTGCCCAGAACCAAAAAGATAAGAAAGGGGTAGGCTATGCTGGGATACCCCCGCCCTCGGGTACAATAAACATGATATCAGGTGGTGTTCACTCTAGGGGCCAAAGCGCCCGAGCCCGCAAGGCATATGCCCGACAGCTGATGACTGTCAACAAAAACAGACCCTTGAAGCGGCCGTTTGAGGAAGCAGAATGAGAGAATATGTCTATCACATTCAGCCTCGCGGATTACAAGCAAGCAAAAGGAGAGCCTGACATTATGATGCCCCATGCAGATCCCTTTGTGGCAACGGTTCATATAGGCAATCATAATGTCAATAAGGTGTTTATTGACACTGGCAGTTCACCAGATATCCTATACTGGAGTTGCTTCCAGAAGATGCAGCTAAATCCGAGCTCGCTGCAGAAGCACGAAGGGCCAATATACGGGTTTGATAACCAGCCCGTCCCAGTTGAGGGAGTTATCACTCTTCCTATATATGTGGGCTCCGAACCACGCTTCAGGATGGCTTCCGTCACCTTCCTGGTCGTTAAGATGGAATCAGCTTTCAATGCTATATTAGGAAGAGCCACCCTGTGCGAGTTGAAGGCTGTCATCTCACAACCCCATCTCTACATGAAATTTCCAACTCCTCAGGGGGTAGGAGTGCTTAAAGGAAATCAAAAGATGGCCAGAGCCTGCTATCAAGATACTTTCAAGAAGGTTGAGCTCGCTGCTGCCCCCTCAGGCTCCGAAAATCACAGACCAACCTAACTCGGTCAACAAACGATGAGCATATCAGATATCGAACACCGACTTGATGGTGTCGAACAGGAAGCAAAGCCAGCAGAGCCAGTAGAGCCAGTAGAAACAGTTCCTCTAAACCCAAATGTGCTAGAAAGGACGGTTAAGATCGGCACTAAGCTCACAGAAGAGGAGCGTGCAAAGCTTCTGGAGTTTTTGAGGAGTAATTAGGATGTGTTTGCATGGACTACGGATGAAATGCCTAGCATCCCAACGGAGTTGACAGTCCACAAGCTCAGCACGGACCCCACCAGAAGACCGGTGGCGCAAAAACGCCGCCTTTTTGGCCCCGAGAAGCAAGCTGCCCTAGACAAAGAGATACAAAAGTTGCTACAGGCAGGCTTCATTAGAAGAGTGGAGTACTCCGAGTGGGTGTCCAATCCCGTGCTCGTGAAAAAACCAAATGGCAAGTGGAGGATGTGCATTGACTTCACCAATTTGAATGAGGTGTGTCCAAAAGACCCTCATCCCTTGCCAAATGTGGAAAAGTTAGTAGAGCGGGCAGCTGGGCATGAACGGATGAGTTTTCTTGACGCCAGCTCGGGTTACCACCAGGTCCAGCTGTTGCTAGACGACCAGGAAAAAATAGCTTTTTACGCTGGTGACGCAATCTACTGCTATGTCATGATGCCGTTTGGCCTCAAAAATGCTAGAGCAACATACCAGAAGCTGGTGCAGATCATCTTTAAGCTCCAGATCGGCAGAAACATAGAAGTGTATGTAGATGACATGATAGTCACCAGCGTGCGAGCTAAGGATCACATTGACGACCTGGATGAAACTTTTCAAAACTTGCGCCGAGCCCAAATGAAGCTGAATCCCTTGAAATGCACGTTTGTTGTGGAATCAGGGAAATTCCTAGGGTACGTAGTATCCAAGAAAGGAATCGAAGTAAATCCAGAGAAAGTCCAGGCCGTTCAGCAGATGGAGCCTCCCAAGACTATAAAAGATGTACAGCGTCTGACAGGTCGGGTAGCTGCGTTGCACAGATTTATAGCCAGATCGGCAGAAAGGTGCCTTCCATTCTTCAAAGCTCTACGGGAGAATAAAAACTTTCAGTGGACTGATGAATGTCAACAGGCGTTTGACGAGCTCAAACGATATCTAGCATCAGCACCCTTGCTGTCCAAACCTGTCGATGGGGAATGTTTATATCTTTATCTGGGGGTCACAGAAGAAGCGGTGAGTTCAGTGCTACTGAGGGAAGAGAATAAGAATCAGAAGCCTATCTGCTACGTGAGCAAGGTGTTACAAGGTGTTACAAGGTGCCAAGCAGAACTACCCGCTAGCAGAAAAGGCTACTTTTGCTTTGGTCTGCACAGCTCGTAAGCTGAGAGCTTATTTTCAGTCTCATCAGATTGTTGTCTATACCGATTTACCATTAAGAAAAATACTGCAGAAACCTGAACTCTCTCATCGGCTTATTGGATGGAGCGTCGAGCTGAGTGAATATGACTTGAAATTTCGGCCGCGCACAACCATAAAAGGCCAGGCCGTTACGGACTTTCTGGTGGAGTGCATCTCAGCAACTAAGGAAGAAAAAGCACCCGAACACCCAGTATTGGTTTTGTATGTTGACGGAGCTACTAACATTGAAGGGTCCGGTGCTGAAGCTGTGTTGATAGGCCCAGATGGCTTTAAATCTGAGCATGCATTGCGGTTTAAATTCCAGACCACTAATAATGCTGCCGAGTATGAAGCCCTCATTTATGGTTTAAAGCTAGTGTCCGAGCTGAAGGTACAAAGCATTCAGGTCTTCAGCGACTCTCAGATCATTGTGGGCTAGGTGAATGGCAGTTGCGACATCAGGGATTCCCAGCTCAGTTGTTATGTCTTTGTGGTCAACAGATTGAAGTCGATATTTGCCCTTTTCCAAATTGATAAAATACCAAGAGCAGATAACCACCGAGCTGACGAGCTGTCAAAGTTGGCATCCTCGCAGGACATTAACCCTCAGAGATCAACAATTGTCGAGGTACTCGACGCACCGAGCCACACTAATTTCACAGTCGAGTGTCAACTACTAAGCACAGATCCCTCTACACCGAGCTGGACCACCTCGCTTATAAATTATCTACAAAGTGGCGAGCTACCTGAAGACGAGTCCGCCGCAAAATTGATTAAACACAGGGCGGCACATTTCACTATGTTAGATAACCAGCTCTACAAGCAACCAGCCTCAATGCCCCTATTATGCTGCCTTACTCTTTATGAAGATGAATACGTCGTGAAAGAAGTTCACGAGGGAGTATGTGGCACGCACATCGATGGCAAAACTTTAGCTCGAAAACTCCTAAAGCACGGTTATTACTGGCCCACTATGGTCGAGGATGCACAGAACTATGTCAAAAGGTGCCCGACCTGCCAGTTCAATGCCGATGATATTCACATGCCAGGTATCCGAGCTCGTTCAAAAGTTTATGCAAACTTAGTGACTGTCTATGAACTGAGCGTAAGTATCCTTGTTAAAACAGGAGAAATGCTCTCATCACTTACGTCTCCTTGGCCCTTTGCTCAATGGGGAGTCGACCTGCTCAGCCCTTTCATGAAAGGCAAAGGAGGGTGCACTTACCTCGTTGTCACGGTGGATTATTTCACCAAGTGGATAGAAGCTAAACCATTGTCCACGACAACAGAGAAGAAAATAAAAGAATTCCTGTTTAATTCAATACTATGCAGGTATTTTTCGGTGACTTAAGCTATTGGCACATTATATGTAATTATAATTCGTGACTCAGCTCGGACATCTGTTTCTAAGTTCGGCATACCTAAACGGATAATAGCTGATAATGGTCCGCAGTTCCGAGCTGCGGCGCTGAGGTCGTTCTGCAATGATTATGGAATTGAGCTCACCTTGACATCTGTGTACACTCCACAGTCCAATGGGCAAGCCGAGTCCGCCAATAAAATCGTCTTGCGAGGCATCAAGATGTATGTTTTGGCTGCACATACTAATTGGGTTGACGAGCTCAATAAAGTGCTTTTGTCATGTCGTATTACACCCAGCTCGGCCACAGGCGAAACCCCGTTCAGCCTGGCATACGGAGCTGAGGCCGTCATCCCCGTCGAGGTCGGATTGCCATCCGATAGATCAGATCGTCATGTCGATCAGAATAATGAACAACTCTTAAGAGAAAACCTAGACCTTGTGGAAGAAATCAAGGAGATGTCCCGAATAAGAAACATGGCACATCAAAGTCGTGTTGCAAAATTTTACAATAAAAGAGTTCGAGCTCGCCAGTTTCAAGTCGACGATCTGGTCCTATGTAAAGCTGGGTTAACTAACACTTATTCACACATGGGCAAGCTCGCTCCTAATTGGGAAGGCCCCTATATGGTTGTTCAAGTTAAACGACCTGGCTCTTATGTGTTAGCAGATATACAGAGACGTCAATTGCCTTACATTTGGAACATACAGAACCTTAAAAAATTTTACAGTTAACCTGTATACTATTCTTTTATTCAAGTTGTTATTCGACAGTTGTAAACAATGATATACCGAAAATACAACAAAAATTCAAAGGAAAACTCAATTTTGTATTTCATCAAAGATGTTTACATTGAAGGTACATATGATATGAATCCATTGATCAAATACAAAAATGCAAAAGCGAAATACAAAAGATCAAAAGAAAAACCCTAAATCTAGTCATCCGTCAGATCGACGGGCATGGATGCATCAGCAGCAACTGCAGGAGAGCGAGCTGGAGGAGACCGGCCTGCGAGCTCAGAGGCTGGTGCGTTGACGGGCGAGCTGCTGGCACCACGGTGGGCTGAGAGTTGGGTGGGGTGCTTGAAGGCTCCTACTCAGCTACAGGAGCACCCTCTACCCATGCGTCAAAGGAGGGCAGCCTTGTTGGATCCTCCCCGTCCTCAAGGACCTGAGGAGGCCAAACAGGCACTCCCTTCGCGTTGAGGTCCCACCTCAACCATACCGTGGCATCGACAAGGGGAGCGAGACTCTTCCCTTGCTCGTCCAGGTCCTCCCCGTCAAAGAACGCCAGCTCACCAATTGGGAAGTCCGGGCGGTGTTGCAGCACCTTCCCACGGATCTCGTTGTAAATCTCCGTGGTTACATTTGTAGACGCCACCGCCACGGCGTCCTGAAACGTAACCGAACCCACGAACCATTCCGCCCCTTGAGCTCGAGCGATGCTGACAGAGTGTTCATGGGAAGTCTTCAGCTCGCTCAGCACCTCCCCAGTAGCAGTAAGGTTCCGATCGGCCTCGGCGACCTGGTGCTTAAGGGAGCTCAGCTTGTGCTGAGCACGGTCCCTGTCGGCCTCAGCCTTCTTGGCCCGTTCCTCAACCCGGATGGCTTCCTCCCTAGCTGCCTGGATCCCGCTCTCTCTTTCAGCATGGGCGCGCTTTAACTCCTCCCTGAGCTCGTTGTTTCTGTTGGTGAGCTCATCCGCCCGACTCTCTGCAACCGCAGCTCGGTTCGCCATTTCAAAGCCTTGCAGACGATTCACATCGTCCATAAGGCTAGCCTTCTCAGCAGCCAGTTGTTTGCATTTTGAACCGAGCTCGCCGTTCTGTGAATGAGCCTCCTGCTCGCTCTCGTAGAGCGCTACAACGTAGCTGAATGCCTGCCAAACAGCAACAATCGTAAGTACCTAGTAAGGAAAAATAAAACACTTAAGCAAGTACGAGCAAATACTTACATCCATCAGTTTGATCATGGTGACCTGGCCGCCATGCTGCTGCACAAAAGCTTTTGCCCGTAGACTATCCGCCGGGGGCACAAAACTGTGCATGCCTTGCACCATGGCGGGCTGGCACTCCGCCCGCACATAGCTGAAGCCCTCAGGATAAGCAATCTTGGGGCCCGACATCGAAGCCGATGCAGAGGCGGGCTCTACTGCTACCTGCGCAGTCGCTAACGGTGCATTGGGTGAACGCACAGTTACAGGACGGGCCACCTGTGCGGGCTGAGTCCCCTCGCTTGTTTTGCGCCGAGCGAGGGGGACCTCATCTTCTTCGCTCTCAGTCTCCTCGCGTGCACGCCTACGTGCACTCGGGGCCGCAGCCTCAGCTCTGTGTTCAACCCGCGGCCTAGATGCTGAGCTGGACCCTCGATGGGACGAGCTGCGCGATTGAGGCGCGGCTGGCGGTCGCTCGTCGAACCGCGTCTGTCTCTATGAGGTGCTGCCCGGCCCGCGACCTTGTGAGATCTGTGCTCGTTGACGTTGGCATTCGAGAATGCTGCTCATATCTCCTGCACAAACAAATATATAAGACTCAGCCCAGCTAATATTCAAGATAGATGATAAAAATATACCTTCTGTGAACAGGTTTGCCACGTCGACAAACCCGAACACGGCGAGCTGCTCCGAGGAAACCAGGGCGTCTAGATCTATCAGATTCTCCCTCCTCGCATAGTCCAGCAGCTGATTTTTGAGGTCTGTGTCCCGTGGCAGTAATTGAGGGTAGTTGACGTGTGCATTGGGCACACGCCATTCAGATAGCTGGGCAGCAAGGTCGTTGCTTATCCTCTCTGTTCGCATGTCGCGAACAAAAATGAATTGCCTTTTCCACCTCGCCACTTTGTTCCGGATATTCTTGAACAACTGGCTCTTGTCTCTCCCGGAGAGGTAGTACCACTTCGCGCCTCGGGAGTTGGGACACAGCTGGCATTGAAACAGAGACCTAAACACGATCGCCTTGGCCGGTACCTCCAACCTCGCACACAACAGCATAAAGCCTATTATGAACCTTATGTTGTTGGGCGTCAGCTACGTCAGAGCGAGCTCGTAGTCCGCCAGCATAAACCATTTTACCTGAAAATGACGCGAAGTTGGTTCGGCGTACTGCTCTTCAAGCTGGAGTGTCTTGCTTAAGAGAATTTCAGAAAGTTCAAGCAAACACGGAAATGAAAATGGAAAAGGAAACGGTTATGCAGCGAAGAATATGGCAGTGTTAATTGCCGTACGCGTGTTTTTGACGCGCCAACTAGCGTCCCACATGTGACATGTGCTTAGCGCCCTTCTGCATAGCGTGCGCCGGCTTTAGCTGTCACGTCCCTCAAATGCTGAGCCAGCATTTATGACGGGGAAGGCAGAGAGATATGGGAAGTTCAATCGTATCTCCTCAGAGATTTGCTTGACTCAAAAAATCCCAAGATTCAGATCATAACTGTTGATGTGTACCCTATACTGTCACATCAGCTCGCCATTGCGAGCACACTTACCAGGTCATTACAAAGATGACATATTTGCCAGATCGGCTTAACCGTGACAATTCGTTCACAAGTGTAGATCATTTACTAAAATCCCCCAAGATTCAGATCGTCACATATCGTGACGACAACCACATTTGTCAGGTCGTTACATGGGTTGCAGCTCACACCAGGCCACAGACCTTTTCATAGATCAATGGGTACCTGAGGTCGCCTTATTTAACAACACTACCCGTGCGAGCTGATAAAGTGGTGGTCAAAAACCTCAAGTCGCACTGCATGTGAGGTCGCGTCGCCTCACCTCGTGATTATAGCTAACTGAGCGTCATCTGGTTGCACTTCAGTATTAGTCAAGGGTCAGGTCGCCACATGGACGAGCTGAAATGGTGTTATATACATGGCTGGTCCCTATGCGAGCTCATCTGTTGTGAATCACTTCAGCTTGCCGCCATAACAAGCCCACACTAGTGTGGGTATGGATACCAGCTCGCCTCCATGCTTTCAGGCTCGTGAGCTCGCCTATTTTCATATTGCCTTTCAGCTCGGCTATCGTCAAGGTCGGCCTCAAGCTGTTCAGGCTGTCCGTCATAGTCACTAGCTACAACGCTGACCCACCACCATTTCCATCCCAGTTCGTCAACCGAACACCGGGGGGGAGTAATGTTGGAATAGGCCCAACACCCAAACAGGGCTGTGCATAACGGGCCTAGGTTACCACCTACTAGCCCAAGTCGAAGGAGCATCAATACAAGCATACCCACGTGACCAGCACCACGTGGGCCAATGGGATGCTCACACGTGCAGATGTATGTCAGCACCATGGGGCTATAAATACCCCCAACTACCTCCGATGAAGGTAATTAATCTCTACGCTTCTCTCTCTGCAATTACTCATGGAGAGCACCTCTCTCTAGAATATTGAGTATTGTTGACTTGAGCGTCGGAGTGTTTTCCCCGAGGAAACAACCTCGGGATTTTTAGGTGTAGGAGCAGCTAAGGATTTCAACAGTGTTGGACTACAGTGTTTGACTGCGAAGCTACCCAAACAATCTCAAAACATTGGATTATAAAATTCTTTTTAGGTTAAAACCCCTTTTTGGTCCCTCAACTATTGTACGGACCCCCGATTTGGTCCCTGAACTAAAAAAATCCCTGATTTGGTCCCTACTGTTTACCATTTTTACCCCGACTTGGTCATTCCGTTAAAAATTGTGTGACGTGGCTTGTTACTTCACGGCTATCAAATGACATGTCATATAATAGTCCACGTGAAAGATAATATAGCCAAAAAAGTGATGATGTGGAAAAAAATAATATAAAAAAAATATTATAAAAAATAAATTTTAAATTTTTTTTTCTTTTTTCTTTTCTTCTTTTTTTCCTTTTTCTTTTTTTCTTTTTTCTTTCTCCTTCTCCTTTCCCTTATCTTTCCCCTTGGAACCCAACAGGCCTAGGTTCCTTTAAACCCACCCGTTGGGTTCCTTCGAGAACCCAACCGCTGGGTTTCGTTGGAACCCAAGAGCTGGGTTCTTTCGAGAACCCCTGGGTTCCTTCTCGAACCCAGACGCTGGGTTCGAGACAGAACCCAACGCCTGGGTTTCTTCCTGGGTTCTCGAAAGAACCCAGCGCCTAGGTTTCTTCTCAAACCCAGGCGGCTGGGTTCCTTCGTGAACCCAAGCGTGCTGGGTTCGGTGCGAACCAAGGCAAGCGTGCTGGGTTCTTTGATCTGCTGGGTTCTCGATTTGCCAGGTTTGATTTTTTTTTAAAATATTTATGTTTAAAAGCTTGAATTTTATGGATATTTTTGGGTTGCAGCTGATTATATTGTTGGTGAATATTTTGTTTGTGTGGGCTGTTCTCATTGAGAATTTGGCAAAATTTGGTTGAGGGAAAAAATTTGCTCAGCAGATCGAGAACCCAGCAGATCACTGGGTTTGATCAAGAACCCAGCCATCTGCTGGGTTCTCAAGAACCCAGCGAGGGTTCGATATCTTTTTTTTTTTAATATTTATGTTTAGAAGCTTGAATTTTGGAAAAATATGTCATGATATTTCTGAGTTTTTTTGGGAAGGTTGAAAGAAAGAATTTAGGGCGGTGACTGGTTTGGAGAGATTCTGGGTTTGTATTATTTTTTGATTTAATGTTAGAAGGTGTTAGGGTTTGCAGAAAGTGAAAGGGAAGGAAGAAGATGAAAGGGAGGGAAGAAGATGGAAGGAAAAAAAAGGGGAAATATTTTAAGGTTTTTTTTTGCCATGTCATTCTTTATTTTGCCATATCATTCTTTTTTTGCCATGCTGTCATCTATTTCCGTTAGGTAATGGGACACGTCAATCAATTTTTAACGGAAGGACTAAATCGGGGTAAAAATGATAAACAGTAGGGACCAAATCAAGGATTTTTTTAGTTCAGGGACCAAATCGAAAGTCCGTACAATAGTTGAGAGACCAAAATGGAGTTTTAACCTTCTTTTTAAAATAGTAGAGACAATATTTAACTAAAAAAAGGTTTTAATTTTTTATATTTCTTTTTTGATAGGTTTTGATTTACTGAATAATAGATGGTACATTGGAGTATTACTATTATTATATTCTTTCATGATAGTATTCTAAGTCAGTTTATGTATACTTTAGAATTAATTTTTTTAATTTAATTAAAAATAAATTATTTAT